CCGTTTTGAACTAACTCTCTTGGTATTCGCTGACCGCAAGAGGAGCCTTTTATCCTCTATTTACAAATCTCTGATGGAGACAGGAAAAGGGCAAATAAAGGCAAACATGAAGGCGTGGAACAAAGACCTACAGAAAGATCTGACAGACGAACACTGGTTGAATATTTGGGACTCTCAAGCTTGCAAATCCCAGATCTTCTCTATCCGCCTTCAACTATTCAAAATGCACACCAGGTGGTACCTCTCACCAACACGTCTACATCATATGCACCTTACATATAGTCCACTATGTTGGAAAGATTGTGGAGTGAACAGTGATTCTTTGCATTGCTGGTGGTCCTGCCCCCTGATTCAATCATTCTGGGAGAAAATAGTGGAGGAAATCTACATAATCACATCGCAGAGACTGCCAATGGACCCGGCTGTACTTCTTCTCCAATCAGTCGAAGAATCCGCTCCACAGTATAGAATATCTAATCTTACTTCTACACTACTAGTCACAGCCAGATTGACAATTGCAGCATTGTGGAAATCTCAGAACATACCATTGGTTGCAATGTGGAGAGAGAAATGCTGGGATCATTATGTAATGGACAGAATCGCAAACACCTTCAAAGATAGGCAATATAGACCTATAAACACACACTCCAAGTTTGTAAGAACTTGGTTCACATTTATACAGTACATGACGGAACCCGAATTTTTACTATCTAACCCAGCCTATATTGAATGGCTTAGTTTCTAAACAATGAACAGGCTTCAAATAAGTCCTTACCTTTGCTTCACACACACACACACAATACACTCAACACATAAACAAAATTTGTCTAGGCTTATGTTTGGAGAATGTGCAATGCGTTAAATGATTTTCTTTTCTTGATTCTACAGTTTGTTGAATACTGTACCAGTTGATAAAAAAAACCCTTCATGTTTGTAAGAAATTTTTGCATTACCTTTAATAATAAAAAATTATTATTAAAAAAAAACTATTTGGTTTTCCTTTTTGCTAAATAATGCCAATTAGCCGAATATATACAGGCCAGAGACTTTGTCCAATTAAAATACAAAAGTTTATTATAAACAATTAAAAACACACAAGTTAGGGACCAATAAAATGTACGTGGAACAAAACAAAGGAACACAAAAGCTAACTGACTAAGTCTATATTTCCCTAAGCCTTTAGCTCTAAGCAGCAATAAACATAGAGGCTGGCTGGTTCCTGGGATTAGCAGTCCGTCTGGTCCGACGTCTCCATGCAGTCTGTCCCGACCTTCCACTCCAGCAACTGTGAGCAGTTCAGCGTAATGGCTAGATGCTTCTATCTTGCAAGCATGCATCTGCTAACTGGCCTTGGCTCGACTCCTACTAAATAGCTGGCCGGCTGTCAGCCAATCCTAAATTAATTGAACATTCACACGTGACTGACTTAGATGACGAACTGTCAAGATCTAGCTGAGTCATTTCTTCCTCTGACAGTTGCCAGGTGCACTAGCTTGCAATAGCCATTAATTAGATCCAGGTGTCACTTAGGTGACCTACTTCGCTAACTTCATCCTGGTGTCTCAAATTAACTGTCTGGCTACAGCAACTACTTACAGTTGTTTAAAGGGGGAATATCTTGACACATTATGGTCACTGTTCCCAACCTTACATCTCTCACCAGGTCTTGGGTGTTACTTAGAACCAAGTCCAGGATCGCCTCCCCCCGGTAGGTTCAGTGACCATCTGCTCCATGGTACAGTCGTTGAGAGTATATAGAAACCCAATCTCTTTCTCCTGACGTGACCTAATCAATGTGTGAGTAGTTAAAATCACCTATTATGACACAGCAGCTTTCTTTCATTCTTTTGCTGTTTTTAAATCATCCTCTAACCTTTAATCTGGTGGGTGATAACAAACTCCCAGGGTTAAGCTTCCTTTTGGCCACACTATTTCTACCCATAGTGTTTCTGTAAATGAATTTATTTCTCTTAGATTCTCAATTTTACTGGACTGTATACCCTCTCTGACATACAGAGCCATTCCACCTCTGACCCTTCCCTTCCTATCCTTCCAGTATAATTTATATCCAGGAATCACTGTATTCCACTAATTATCCTCATCCCACCAAGTTTCTGAAATACCCACAATTATGTTCTTCTCTGACTCTAAGTATTCTAGCTCCCCTAATTTAACTCAGACACTTCTAGCATTTGTATATAAACATCTGTAATTCCCCAGACATGTTAGGCCTGCAACCTTCCTCCTTTGGCCTCTAGACCTTGTCAAGCAGTCAGTATTGTTTGTCACCCTCTCAGTGGCCAGTTATAATCCATTTTGCTCTAGAACAGTAACAGTTACTCCTTCATCTCTTTCTCTTTTTTTTTGGATCCCCCTAAGGGGAATTTTTTATTGTGTTTTTTTACAAACTACAAACTGCAGCCGAAAATATGGGAAAGGGAACTATATCTAAGGAGAAAGAAAAAAGACCCACTAATAACTTAAAACCCAAGTGTAGGAGATCAATACATCAGCTTAACTCAGTGTTACTTTTAGAAAGCTAATAAAACAATGAACATAGTTGGCTATGCTAGGTTAATTATCTTTTAACTATTCATTTAACTACTTAAAGAAACCCCCCAAGCATCCCAAAATCATTTCAGAGTTTTCAGGCACAAATCAGAGTCCTTCAGCCACTATTTATTCTTCTCTTTTCTAATCCTCAATTTATATGAACTTTTTGGGGGGCCGCCCCCTTTTCAGAGGGTGAGTCCTCGTCCGAAGACCCCGAGCCTAACTCGCCATCAGATTTGCTTTCTTCTTCTTCCTTCTCGTCCTCAGCTGGTTCCCTGAGCTGTGTTCGCAGAAAATCACGTGCCTTAAGAACAGAGTCAATCTTTTCTTTTTTATTGTGAAGTTCTGGGATTAACCATCTGTAACTGATGCCATTTGTTTGTAGAAAAAGGATTTGTTCTTTATAATTCTTTCTCTTCTGTCTTATGTCAAATGGGATGTCTTTTAAAATCCTGATGTT